TACACATAAACCGGTTTAAGTGATCAGAAACTGGTTTAAACCTGTAACAGAACAAACTTTCAGTGCACATAAACCAGTTTGAAAATGGCTGAAACTGGTTTGAGATAAACCTGGTTGAATGTAGTATCAGACTTTACTGATTTGGGTCAAACTGGTTTATGCAGTGTCTGTTCCAGACCCCTTCCTGGTTTAAGTTAAACCAGACTCCCTGAGCATCCCGGTATGCTCTTTGGCCTGGGCTCTCTGCACCCTAGCCAGAGCTCTGGCAGAGACTGCAGGTACAGCAGGGTCTGCCTGGCTTTCTCCTGCCCTACCCCCTCATTGCTGCTTGATGCTCAAGCAGCAATCCCCCGCTCCCTCCCATCTCCCACAGCATGAACCCCAGCCCCACGGACCCTAGACATGTGGTATGCTAGCTAATGCTGAGAGTTGTTTGTGTGTGTGTGTCTGATTTCACTGGGACAGGCAGACAGAACAGTGACTGCTTAGGGCTTTTTGGAGCTAATCAACAGGTCAGCTGGTAACCATTCCTTCCTTGGAAAAAGCTGTGTAAGAAGAGCTTGAACTAACAGAGGGAGGCTATTGTTTTGCTGATGGGGTAATAAACACTGTTATCGGTCCCCAGCTAGCTTTCTCGCCTGTCAGTTTGCTGCAGACAGTATGAAGAATCAGGGAGGAAGATTGAAAAGCTCCATATCATCAGCAGTGCACATCCCCCCCTTGCCTCAGAGTGCTAGTCCAGGGCTAGGGTCTGGCAACACTCCCACCCCTTGAGCAGCCAGCGGGGAAAAGCCGAGGATGGTGCAGGCATACCTCCCTAATCAGAGCATCCTGCCTAGGCCTGGCCATGCTCCCCCCGTCAGCTTAGCACTTTGGAAGGGAAAAGAGGGCTGCTCTAGTGCTCCCCATCTTCTAGCCTGAGCCACTGCAGGCATGTGCCTGAATTTCCTCAGTCCAGAGAGAATGTCTGTGTGGTTACAAACTGGTTCAGCTTAGCCAGGTTAGACTAACCTACAAAGGTTGAATCAATTCAGGCTCAGGCTTTTTGAATGTCTGTCTCTAGCCTTAAAGCTTTCTGGGCTTGCATCTCCTGTCTTTGGGCTGGTGAGAATCATAAGGGGGGAGTTTTAGTGTTACAGGAAAAGTGGGTTGTTTTATAGTTCTTGTGACATATACTAGACACAGTATTTACCATTCAAGACTTTTAATATTACCTTTATTGCATGTTTAGAGATGATTTATACGGACCAAAAGTCTGCAGTCTGCGCTACTAAAATTAGTACTTATTTTTCCAGTACTATACTACTTCCACTGCTAAAGAAAGAGCATAGTGTGTATTCTAATTTGCAATTGCCATTGTATGATACTGGCTAATAGTTCCCTAAAACCCCGCAAAGAAATATTTCAGCAAAGTTATAGAAGTACCATAGTGCACACATGCATGCACACACACACACAATATTTCTTGCATACAAATTACAGGTTTTTTTTCCCAAAAAACAGCTTCTAGAAATTGGAGTGTACATTATATGCAAGAAATATGAAAAAAAACAGGCTCTGACACATACCAGGTAAAACCAAAAGTAAAAGTGATCCACAAGGAACAGGACAGTGAGCAAGCTCAGCTCCCTAGCTGCTGGACTCAGTTACTACAAGAAAAGAAGTTTTTTCTCCTTATTCTTTCTCTGAGAAACAAACTGCATATTATAGTATTCTGGAGCATGTTGTATGTGAGAAAATATGGCATATCATTAACTTGTGAATTAACTAAATAACATTAAGGCCAGACATGACTGACTGATGTGTTTTATACTATCACTTAAATTTCAGTAAGGCTCAGAGACCCATTGTACTAGGCACTGTACAGGACAAGCTTAATAAATAGGTCCTGCCCCAGGAAGTTTACATTGAACAAGGAAGTAATATGTGGAGAAAACAAAGCGCTTAATAAAAAAGCAGAAATCTGAATTTGTGATTGTCTTAACCCCGGCCTGACAGAAATTATTTGTAAGCCCCACTGCAAAGGTCAATTTTAATGAGGAAGGCTTTACTAATTTTAACAGGGAGTTTTTTGAGTGGGAGGGAGGGGGATGGGGGTTCCCATGAAGAGAAGGAATTATGACCAGGAAGAAGCAAAAAAGTAGGCAGTCAATCTGGCCTCTTTGGCAGAGGGAAGATAAAGGTTGAGAGTGCAATCAACTAGATTGTATTAGAGCATCAACAGCAAGCATGAAGAAAGAGAACAAATTTATTGCATGAGTAGCATGGGCAAGAGAATACCCAAAGAAATGCTAGTTCTGGAATTTAGGAAGCAGATAATGGCAGTAAGTAGGGGCTGAGCATTGGCAGAACAGAATACTGTGAGTGGAAAGAGTACCAAAGGGTTATGTTCATGGAAGGAATTGTTGAGGGTTGTGTACATGGAAGGAATCAACAGCCATGTCAATGGAGTAGAGAAGATGAGGAGTAGGCAGAGAGCAGAAAAATTAACAGCATTGATGGATTGGGATTCACAGGTGGTGAATAGCAGGGCAGGTAGAAGAGGGGACAGATGGGTAAGTGCTGATAATGTGATTTAACAACATATTTTTCCCTTTAAAATTCAGCTATCTACTTGTATGTAGGATAAAAATGCATAGCTCCTTATGCTTCAGGGTATGATCTCACCAGGATGAGGAAGAATCTTAGTCTCAGGGAAGATAATCCCACAATGAGCAAGCATAGAGTAACTTGCGCTGTCCCCTGCTCTTTTGGTTCAGTTCATTGTCAAAAACAGAATAGTAGAGTACATGGAGTACTAACATAATGTAGCATGACAGTTCTTGTGCTGTTATTCAGCAGGTATCTATTCTCTAGTAACATTTAAATTATGTACAATGTATCATCCAAGGAAGGGGCTTTTAGATTGGATAAATTCATGGATGTCAGACCTATTAATGACTATTGAACAGAATGGTTGGAAGTGTTTCCTCTGGCTTCTATAATTGTATAATGGTGGATGTCAGGGAGGGTATTGAAAAAGGGATAAGATCACTCTCAGTTTAGTGCTCTCCCTCCCTGGCATTCACTTCTGCGACTGTCAGAGACCAGTTATTGGGCTAATGGACAATTGGTCTGACCCAGTATGGTGCTTTTTATATTCTTAAATAGTATGGGAAAAATACTTGTCACTTTCATTACAAAAGCAGATGTAGCATTCCCTTACAATGTCAATGCAGGCATGGTTTTTGGAGCAACGACTTTATCTATTTGTTCAACAGAAACTGGAATTAGAGACAAAGAACACAAGTCTGTTTAGGTTGACAAGTAGGAATAAAGAATCTTTACTGAACTACCAAATTTTTGAACATTTAGTTTGGTCCTTACCCTTGAAGGCTGATGATGAAATATGGATCATGATCATTTCCACTATTTATTGAGTCATATTCTTTGATAACCTCAGGGAAGTTCTGAGAAGATGTCAGAGAAAGGAAGAAACAGGATTTTACAGATCTTAGTACTTTTTTTCCTCCTGTCATAAGCACTTGGTGCAGCTTAGTTCATGGAGACAGTCAGAGAAATCTGTTATTCAGTTTTGTTTTCCATTTCACTTTTAAGGCAGAACATGTATTATTGTGTAGCATCTTTGAGTTTCATAATCACCCTTTGCTAATTAACTATGTAGAGGTGTTTGTTGTCAACAAAATCAGTGGAAAAGTAGTTTACCTAATAAAACCAAAACAGGGGTCATGGGGTGGGGAAGAAGGGGGAAAGAGAGAGAGAAATAAGCAAAGGATTTAATTGATCAAATGTATTACCCTAATGCAGTGATTCCCAATCAGGGTGCCAGGGTCCTTGGTTGCCTTGTGTTCCCTTCAAGGGTGCTGTGGGGTGCCACACAATGGGCACATCTACACGAGACATTTACTGCACAGTTGACTACTTAGCTGCACAATAAATGTCTCAGCATCTGCATGTGCACCCCTATTAGGCTGGAGTAGATTAATTAATTCTGCAGCAGGATAGTACTTGTATTCACAAGTGCTTGTGAATACAAGTACTATCCTGCTGTGGAGTAAAAAAACTCCACACATGTAGACACTGGAGGGGCTGGCTAGGGGCCAAAAAGGGTGTGCCGGGGCTGCCTATGGCTAGTGCGGCACTGAAGCTCCCTCATGCACCAGATAGCCCCTCCACAGCAGATTAAGCCAGGGGAGAGAAACCCTGGGCTGGCAAGCTGACTCCCGGGCTCTCTGCCAGCCAGGGTTGCTCTGCCCTGGCTGCACATGTTGCTCCTGAATAAACTGTGGAGACCTGTTGTGATCTCTCTAAAAATTGGTGTATTATTTTTCTGACATCAAAAAAATGAGTGAAAACTAAGAGCTGGCACTTTGTAACAGGTGCATTAACTCTAATGAGGGGTGCCATGAGTCTGAAAAGTTTGAGAGTCACTGCCCTAATGTAATGTTGTTTCATTGTTAGTGCTCCTCTGACACCAAGCATGGCTCAGAAACCTTTAATTAACACCCTTCTCTGACTCGTATATTAGAAGTCACTATTGCACTGTTCTGGATTTAGTCGGTGGTGGAGGAGCATGCCTACCAAACCTTCCCATTGACTTTTCTTTTCATTTATTACACTATCCACATCTTCTGGAATCCCTGACCTAAGGATTTCTCCTCAGGACCAGACAGAAGCAGAAACTCCATGAATACACTAAGGACCAGGCAGACATCCTAGGTCAAAGAAGTGACATTTCTATGGGGTGTATTCTTTCTTTAATGCAAGCAATGCAGTTTTCATTGACATTCATAGCAGTTACTTGCATGCACAGAGGTGAATATATCCTTATGTTCAGTCACTAATACAGCTGTTTATTGCGTTATTACACAGGATCTTTACTAGCACCCTAACAGTTTTCCCGAGTATACAAGAGACACATTAAAAAATGTCCATTAGTTATGTACCATGTTAATTCTGCTCATATTACTGTCCTGTTATGTTCTCCATTTCTTCTCCAGGCAGCTTTAAGTGCCTTGAAACAGTTTTCAGAACAAGGACTGAATCCAGTGGAAGGGGCTATGAAGGTTGAAAATGGTTCACTTGAAAAGTAAGTATCATTTAAATTCTGCATTTTAATGCCAATGTGGTATTGTAGATAAGGAGTATTAATTAAAAACATAGTTACCCCTTTAAATCATTACAAAAAACATGTGGTTCATTTCCTCCAGAATTTACATATGATTTTTGATAATCTAAGAGTCTAAACAGGATTTCGGTCCTAGTGTGACTTTTAATGCTTACAAACTGGCAATGATGCAGTTGCCTGCTTACGCAATATTTTTCTTCTTATTCTAGTGATCCTGGGTAATTAGCATAACATGCTTTTAGTCAAACAGGTCGTTGTACATGATGCTGCATGAAAATAGGATAGCTTTCCGCCAGTACTTATGTATGCAATAAAAACATGAAAGTAAATCAGTTTCTGTGAGGCCTTAAGAACTATTACCTAAAATTTTTAGCTTTGAGCAATGTATACTAGATGCAGCTTTCATAGTGGATTTTTAAATTAATTGTTTAGGAGTTAATGTAGATTTATTTGTAAAAGCCAGGATTTTTCTGCATTTGTAATGTAGTTTAAAAATCTAGTTCTGTATTACTAAGTTAGAAAGCAGTGTAGTAAGAAAGAAATAGACTATAAATACAAGTGGCATTTGGAATTTTCAATAGATACATTGTACCTATTTATAAACTAATTTAATCAGAAACATTTTTCCACATGATCTCATCAGTATAGTATCCGAACATAAATATTGTTGTTTCATTTTTAAATGTTACCTTTCACGCTGACCTTTGAATTTCATATGCCATCTGCTAATAAACATGTCTTAAAGATGTGCAACCCCAGCCCTTACCTCTCTTGTTAATGTATTAATCTTTCAGACAAGTCAAGCATCTGGGAGAAAAAGCAGACAATAAACAGACTAACTCAGGCACCATTGCTCAGGACTGCAAGGATTCAAAGGCTGTCGTCTAGGAGCTTCCCAGCACCCATGGCTGCCACTGCATCCTTATAAACCTGTCAACACGCAATAGGGTGTATGTGTACAAGGAAATGAATGACTAATACCATTATTTGAGTCTTATGTGAAGACAACACTATTCTAACACAAGAGATAATATACGTGGTACTGTTTATTCACCCGGGGAAAAAATAAAATTGAACATTTCCCTCAGAACTTAAGATCAGACTAGAACTGAATTGCCCAGAGGCAGAAGAAATCTGATCTTGTTGCTGATGCTTAAAATAACAATCAATTAACAAAAAGTGTTAGGGGAAAAAGGGAAAGTTTTAAAATTGACTAATAATGAACAAAAATAAGAGTCAACATTGGTTCAGTTATACAATTTTTTCATAGTGTAGTTTAAGTTCAGCTTACTGGTTTTTAAATAATGCTTGAATATTTTAAAATTAACCAATGACAGTGCTGTGAGAATTGTAGTTGTTGTCTTCATATATAGTCATACAGCTTATCTTTTTATGCAGAATAATGCATTCTTCATTCTATATGAATATGTATGACTTTAAGATGCACTACTCAGAGTTGTATGCAAACAGAAGTTTAAATCATGACAAGTATTTGCTTAAACATGAACTGATGTTAGTGATGATCAGTCACAATATACTCCAGGAAAAACAGATATGGTATTTGATTTCCCTTGCCATTATCAATTAAAGAGGCGCCTTGCCTCCAAGGATCATTTCCCCTTCAATTCTGCTCTCTGTTGTGTGAAGCACATCTACACCCCATTCTGTGTGTTGTACCAACCCACCGTTTGCATCAACTGAGTGTTTTTAATAACTGCATTCTGACCAAGAACAGCAGATAGGTTTGAAATGTTATCTAGAAAAAGGGGAAAAAAAACCTGTTGAAACAGTTGTCGAGTTTCTCCTGCGTAGAAGGAGTGCCAGTAGAGATGAGGCTTGCAGCTGCACTCTGTACCAGCATATTTGAATTAATGGTTTGGCCAAATGCAGTAAAACCACGTCAGTTCATGTGTACAATGCTAGTGTTGTCTCTTTCTTTATCCTGCAAAAGTATTCAGCTAATAGAACTATTCTCGAGGAGGAGAGAACTCACAAATTAATGAATGTCTAGAACAAATAATAGGACTAGATATTGCCTTTCAGGGGAGGATCCAGAGGGGGTGCAGTGGCATGACTGCACCCCTTCTTTTGGATTGGAACTCACCACAGGGGCTTCCAAGGATTTTTTTTTTTTAAATCCCTAAAGCAGGTGAAAATCCTCTCTCCCTTCCCCTTCCTGCTCAAGGGCACACTCTTCCCAGTCCCTTCCCGCTGCCTGACTTTCCCCACTGTCCCAGGGGCTGGGAAGCACCAGAGATGTTCCTGCCGCGGCTGGGCTGGGCTCAACTGGAGACAGACAATGACAGCAAGGATGGACAGGATGGAGTCCCTTTTCCTGCTCCAGGACCAGGCAAGGTGGGGGAAACTACTCTCTAGCCACTTTGTTGCCGCTGTCCTCTCCTCAGCTGAGCCCAGCCCCTGCTCAGCCCAGCTGAACTGTGGTGCTTCCCTGTCCTCGAACAGTGGAGAAAACAGCAGCAACAAGCAGTGGAGGGGTAGGGGAGGCAAAGGTAGGGATGGGGACATGTCTCTGAATGGGAAGGGGAAGAGAGCAGGGATTTTCATCTGCTTTAGAGACTTAAAAAATTCTGCTGGCACTGGTGGGATCAGAGGAGGCGGCAAGCAGTGGGTGCAACCACCCTTGCAGTGTAGGTTGTTGCTCCCGTAGTTCCTTTGGAACATCCCAGATCTGCCCCTGGTGCCTTTCACCACAGGGCTACCTCCAACAAAACTGTTACGACTTCCATCTAGCAAAGTAATTTTAGATTTCAGGATATAAAATGTCTTTCCATGGCTTTCTCTTTGTTGTTTTTAAATGTTATGCAACCAGAAAATGATGCAGCTGTCAACTGCACAACAAGCATGACAATAGCCACACACATTACAAGATTTCACAAGCATGTAAACCACAAATCACAACATGGCTAAACCTCATAGAAAAACAAACAACAATATTGGGAAATAATACAATGTACCTGGGCCCCATCCGAGAAAGTCCTTTGATGTTCTATGAAGGTTCCTCCACACCATAATATGGTATGTACTAAAACCCACCAAACTAGTGGCTGCTAAAAGAAAACAAAAAATTATATCCATAGAACAATAGCTTTATATCTGATAGTCTGGTGTAATGAGCACTCTCTCCTCCCTTCAGACTCCGTAACTTTCTTAAGGCTTCATGCTGAGCATTACCTTAAAGAAACTGATCATTTAGCTCCTGTCAACTGGAAGGTTTCCACAGGCATTTGCTAACTGGTTCTTAAAATGGTGGCGGCCTATAGAAATACTGAACCCTGTCCTGTTTTGCTCAAGGGGCACATTGTTTTGCTGGTTATGGGAGGTTCTGTTGTACCCATTAGTCTAACAATTTGCCAAGAGATACTTCAAGACTGGGCTTAGGCTGTACTGTTGGCAATTTCCAAATATGCAATGCATAGAAAAGGTCCTATTATCCCCCTATTTTGGAGAAAACCTATTAGAGAGAAAGCATGTTTAGGAAAACATCACATGGTGAACTGATGAGTTTCCAGGCAATATCCTGTGTGTTGGAGAGGGGTTTAGATGGCTATCCATCAATCCTGTACCATTGCATAGTGTCAGTTTTGAGGCATGTTAGTGGTTGTAGCTCAATATAGCTATTTTAGTCTAGGTAGAAAATCTGCTCCATGCAACATCACTGCAACAAGGATGAGTTTCTTAAAGAAAATACGCAGTTTATTATTCAACTGTATAACAGTGTCCTTTGGCCATAATTTGGTACCATTAATTTCCAGCTTCCCAAAGATCCTGAGGCAAATTTAATTCCTGGTGTGTGTCCCCAGTCTTCAAACTTTATCATTCCTGTTGGTGCACAACTGTTCCTAGTGGTTCTTCAGTTGGTGGGATCAGAATGCTCTTTGAAAATGTTTTCCTGTGGCAGTCTTGTCCTTCAACAGCCCTGATCATTTCTTCATTTTCGGATAAAAACAGGTAAATAAAAAAAATCATCATCTTTATGTCAAAATTATGTCAAATATGGTGGGCATTGGAAATAGGTCAACATTTTTTAGATATGGCTATGTTCATGAAATAGTTCTGACTGGTGTCATTACAGCAAATTATTGTTGTATTTATTATTTTTAGTTTGTATACTCTTCTGGGGCAGAAACTGTGTCATCTACTTTGCTTGCAAGGTGGGTAGAGTGCTGCAGATGTTACTGCAATCCAAAGGATTAATACCATTATTTACCTATACAGGGAACATCTTTCATCCAAGGACCTCAGAATCACTTTCCACAAAACTGATCAAGTGTCATGTTCTTTATTGTACAGCTAGCGAAACTGAGGTACATACAGACTCAAGTGGTTATTTACTTTTGTTCCTGACCCTCTACACTCTACCAGGCTACCTAGAAGGCATGGTGTCAAAGTGGTTAAGGGATCTCTCCATGGCTCCAGAGGCTACCTCCAGTCAAGCCAGATGTCCCTGATCATTTGGGCTGATTACTCAAAGGTTAACCTGCTGTGGTGTTAAAGCACCTCACTCATTGTGTGCCTTAGCCACGCTAGCCCAACTGACTGTTATGTGGACTTCTGACTTTTTTTGCACCATGCTACCTCCTCAAGCAGAGACCGATAACTTCTGCTAACTAGAAGTTAACAACCTCTTTTTACAGGTTAACAAACCCAAATCAACATCACGTATGAGCTTTCAATGCCTTCTAACACTGTTGCTAGGTTTATATTAAGAAGTAACCCATACATTGTACACACAAGGAAATAATGTTAAAAAATGATATGCAAAGGCCTTGATAACTCAAACTGGCCATGAATGTACGGATTTTACTGAAGGTTCACTTCCAGTTTTTATTCATGTTTTGTCTAATGCAGTTAAAGAAACAGGGAATACACCTGCCTAATTTCACACTTGAGTTTTTGCCCTGAGTCACAAATACAGCTTATCAATAAATGCTCACTGCAGTCTGAAAAATATCTGTATTCACAAGTGTAGAGTGATCACTGGGTCTCCAAGAAAGCAAAAGCATTGCCTGCACTAATGCAAAATGCAGCAGCATGGTGACTATGGGAAGGGAGTAGATGAACAAGATATCTGTCTCACACCCATCTCCCTGTCTTTGTGTGCACAACATGGCTGAATGTATTCTTACTGCAAACCTCTCTCAAGTCAACAGAGAATGACACCAGGACATACATTCACCCTTATTCAGTTAATTGAAGCCACATACAGGGGATTTAAAACTAAAATGATAACCAATGATGTATTTATAGGCCCTTCATGGACTGAGTACGGGAGAACGTATTGAGTTTCTGGCTCCCTTTATCATCCCACCCTTCTTAGGCATGAGGAAATGGTGCTGAGCCAGATGAGGCTCTTAAAGGTCAACAGAGGAGAGATCTCTATTTGTGTATCTGTGGCTCTAGGATTACAGAATCTTCTCCTTTCTGTGGAATTAAAATAACTGAAATTAGGTCCTCTTGAAAAAAGTGCAAAGCACTTGATAACTCAGGCCACAAGTACATGGATTTTGCTGAAGGTTTGCTGCCAATTTTTATTCATGTTTTGTCACCTGGGGCTGTTCCAGTTCCCCAGGAAACCCGATAGAAAGACTCCTATTCACTGAAGTGACAATTGAAGTTAGTATTATTAAAGTGAATTGTCTCATAAATAGACTCAATTCTTTTTATACCTAAATGTATGCAGTTAAAATGTGTTACAGGCAATACATCCAGGGCACCCTCCTTTTTCCATTTTTATTTGTATTCTTTTAGAAGCTTTTCAAAAACTCATTCCCCAGAAGAAAGACTTCCTGGACAACAGCTAAGCTTCTCCTTTGCACTCTCCACAGGGAAAGAACCCCAAAGCCAACGGAGAAAGAAAATCGTGCACACGTACCTTTTGTTTTGTAGGGTCATCCCTGTAGAATGATCTGTGTGTGAGCAAGTGCACATACAGGTGGATCAGCTGTGTATATGGTGTTTCTGTGGCATGATTTATATTATTCCACATGAACAACACTGGTTTTCATTTTTGTTCATAGTGCTCGTTATTTGCTCTACAATTAGTCATGGTTGGCTGTGCCCTTTTGTACTTGATGTTTTAACTTTGTAACACTTCAGTACAAAGAAATGCTCAAAAATAATGAAAACATGTTTCTAACCTTTTCCTAATTAAATAGCCCTTAAGAATTGATTAGTAGGAAATAGAGAGTGAAACACATAGAAATGAAGAGGATTCCAATCTCCAACATGGTTTCTAACCTGAAAATGCCACTTATATTTAAGGGCCACATTCTTCTCTCAGCTACAGCCACTGAGCTATATTCAAACCTGCCACAAGCAACACAGTTCTGGTGAAGTTATGTCCACTTACTTGAGGGCTGAGCTTAGCCCACTGAACTGAATAGGGTTATGCTGGAAAAAATAAGATGACACTAAGCCCAGAGAAGACAATTCATGCTGCTCACAACTGATGCACTGAAACAGACAGACAGAGCCTGCCTACTTATTTCTGTTTAGGTACCCAGTAAATTTCACCTGTTAAAATTGCTCAAGTGCAATAATAATTAAATCAATATTAAAACATAATTGCCCTAATTCCTATTAATATAGAGGCCCATTTTCATCACACGGCCTGAAAACTCTGCTGGGTAATTTTGTGCAGATGAGAATTGGGCTCAGTCATCTCCCACAGGTGGACATGAATAATTTTCTCCCATTCAACACAGTTACAACTTATATGAAACCTCCATCATAACTACATACCAGTAATAAGAAAAAAACTCATTGAGGGCTGCAATAACAAACACATTGAAATCTTGCCTGTTGAAGTTAGTAGGAGTTTTGCTGTTAGCTTCAACAGAAATGGGGTTCAACCCAAAGACTAGGTTCCACACCAAATATACAAAGCCAAAACAATCGCATCTAATTATTATCATGAAAAGGTATTTAAATTGAAAATTTCTTACCTTATTTCTTCAGGTAATAGCATGGTTTGTTTTATATTCCAATCCATAAGTCTTCCTCTGAATAGGAACAAAATGTAAAATTAAAAAATACAGGAGATTTCTTATAAAGGGAGATTCATCAACCCAGAATGCAGCATACCATACTGGCTAACAATACTCAAATCAGATGGCTAGGTAGGTGGTTAGGAAAATATATAAATTCCCCACTCCTTCACAGCCAAACTCACTGATAGTGCTGAAAATTATTATCAGTTCTAAATTGCAGTGAAGGGAAGCATGGGTTTACCAAGGGCAAGTCATGCTTGACCAACCTGATTGCCTTCTATGACAAGGTGACTGGCTCTGTGTATGTGGGGAGACCGGTGGATGTGGTGTACCTTGATTTTAGCAAGGCTTTTGATACGGACTACCACAACATTCTCACAGGCAAGCTAAGGAAGTATGGGCTGGATGAATGGACTGTAAGGTGGATAGAAAACTGGCTGGCGCATCAGGCTCAGAGAATAGTAATCAATGGCTCAATGTCTAGTTGGCAGCCGGTATCAAGTGGAGTACCCCAGGGGTCAGTCCCGGGGCTGGTTTTGTTCAATATCTTCATCAACAACCTGGAAGATGGCATAGAGTACACCCTCAGCAAGTTTGCAGATGACACCAAGCTGAGGGGAGTAGTAGATATGCTGGAGGGTAGGGCTAGGATTTAGAATAACCTAGACAAACTGGAGGATTGGGCCAAAACAAATCTCATGAGGTTCAACAAAGACAAGTGCAAAGTTCTGCACTTAGGATGCAACAATCCCATGCTGCAGTAAAGGTTGGGGATTGACTGGCTGTGCAGCAGCTCTGCAGAAAAGGACCTAGGGGGTTACACTGGACAATAAGCTGAATATGAGCCAGCAGTGTGCCCTTGTTGCCAAGAAGACTAATGACATACTGGGCTGCATTGTTAGGAGTGTTGCCAGCAGGTCAAGGGAAGTGATTATTGCTCCCTATTCAGCACTGGTGAGGCCACATCTGGAGTACTGTGTTCAGTTTTGGGCCCCCACTACAGAAAGGATGTGGACAAATTGGATAGAGTCCAGCGGAGAGCAACGAAAATGGTGAAGGCGCTGGGGGACATGACTTCTGACAAAAGACTCAGGGAACTGGGCTTATTTAGTCCAGAGAAGAGGAGACTGACAGGGGACTTAATAGCAGCCTTCAAGTACTTGAAGGGGCGTTTGAAAGAGGCTGGGGCTAGACTGTTCTCAGTGGTGGCAAATGACAGAACAAGGACCAATGGCCTCAAGTTGCTGGAAGAGAATTTTCAGTTAGATATTAGGAAGAATTTTCTCACTAGGAGGGTAGTAAAACACTGGAACAGGTTACCCAGATCGGTGGTGGAAGCTCCATCCTTGGAAGTTTTCAAAACCCAGCTAGACAAAGCTTTGGCTGCTTTGAGCAGGGGTTTGGACTAGATGACCTCCTGAGGTCCCCTCCAAACCTAACTTTGTATAATTCTATCATTCTACTTGCACGTAATGTTAGAAATACCCAAGGCATGTCTACTAAGAAGCAGACAACATGCTCTCCAGATTCAGTAAACAGCAGAACTAAAGGATTGAAATGGATGTGGGTCCTTATAAAAGGAAATTACAAACCCCGAGGCTACAAATTTAAGTGAACAATGATAATCAAGTTAGTTCTCCCCTTATTGTGAAATATTTGTGGAATGCTCTCAACATGCTCATCACAGAAAAAGACATTGTTCCTACTCTGGGACAGTTTGCTACAATCTAAGTTAGCAGGAAAAAAAAGAACTAGGCACTAGGGGCCAGATTTTCAATAGAATTTGGCTTCTATTTAGGTTCTATGAGTGGCAACATTTTCAAGAAATCTCTGGCCGTTAGTCATTAAATTTAACTATTTGGGTTGAAGCTATTTTGACATTGGCCTTAGAAAACACCAAGTCATGTCAGCTTAGGAACTTTGCAGTAGGCATGACACTGTTTGATATTACTAGAACATTTTGCCTAAGAAGCAAGTTTTAATCAAGGCAGCTGGATGTATTCAAACCACAACAATGCTCTAACCCTTGCCTTTCTCTTCTTAGTTAGATTCCTAACAAAGACTAGCTCTTCATTAAAGCTGGTTAAATATGTTTCCCTATAAAAATACTTTGAATGGGGAAAAAATCTTTTCAAAAATAAAATTTTAGGAGATCTTAACTTCGTATTTTCCACAATACTTTTTATGTTAGTTTTCAAAATTTTTGGCTTACTTGAAAAATAAAGTCATATTTTTTCTTACTGTAAACTAGGTTTTTGGAAACAAAACAAACACAATCATTAAAAAGTCAGTTAAAATCACAGAAGTTTTTGCAAAAAATGGTAAATGGGTCCATTTTGATTCCTATGAACTGGGCACAATGTTGAACTATGTTTTGACTCATCTTCCTGATTAAGATCAGGGTAAACTTTTTTAAAGCATTTATGTGACAGGTACCTAAGGGCTAGATTCACAAAGGGTCTTGGTGCCTAGGGTTCAGCCAAAGTCCAGAGTTTTGATCATCAAAGCCCTTGCTTACCCCTCTAACAGGAGAGGCAAAGAGGGCTCTCAGCCCAGCCTACCCCATAGCTTGAGTGTCTGGGCACTTTTTAGGGAAGTGGAAGATGAAGCTTTGAATCTCTTTAGGCTGAGGAGAGCCTATAACCCAAAATCCCTACTTTCTGTATGACTGCTATGGCCATTAGACTACTGTACAGAGGTGAGTATGAGTTCATCATTGTTGTCATCACCTTCTAATGAAAGTAGCTGTGGGCACTGTAGTGAATGTCATTAGTTGGCATTGAATATTTTCTGGGAAAGCCTACTGGATCAGGCTCATCAAAGGGAGTTATGTGCCAAAATGCCTAGCTTGTGAATCCCAAACTGCCTTAGGCAGGGTATAAACAACATGGCTTGGCCTAGCTGAACATTCATAGTAGGTAAATTCAGGCACCCAAGGCAGTTTTTTTTTTCAGAAAATTTGGGCACTCCCTGGAGTCTTAGGTGCCTAGGTCTTTAGCCAGGGTTTTCACTTCCTGTGACTTAAATGTCCAAATTCCCCTTAAATCCCACTTTAAATACTAACTTTTCTTTGAGGCTCACCCCTAAATTACAAAGAGCAGCGGTATCTTTAGGTGGTGCCCCGCTCAGTACTAATTTTGATAAATCACATTCTTACGTGCCTAACCCTCTCCCTGTATTATACAGGGAGGACACATCTACGCATGCATTTGATTCAAGATCAGTTTACCTGCAAGTAAAATACTTGCGAGTAAACACTCCTGGGCAGGCATCTACACATGCAGGGACTTGGCAGCAGATTTGCTGCTCTTAGCACCAAACTGGTGCCACTTCCTGCAGCCCTGCAATGGTCCCTTGCCACCACTGGGGGGAGCTCCAGGCTCTGGCTGCAGCTGCCAGCAGCTGGCAGCCCTCTTGAAAAGGCAGCCCTGCTCTCTGCTCCCTGGCCAGTCACTTCCCTGGCTGGGAGCAGCATGCACAGTGCAGAGGCAGCATGCAACAACTCTCTCCTTGCGGCCTCTGCCCCCTTGCGCCATGGCTGCTCCAGCCCCTGCCCCTGGCAGCGACGACCAGTGCCCCAGGCCACCACACTAGCCCTGTTGTCCCACCGCGCCAATCACCAGCTGGCCCACAGCCATCTGTGCCCTCCTGGCTCCCCCACATGCAGCAACCGCCAACAGGCCACAGCACACCATCCCAGGGCACCCCTGCCACACAGCTGCTACCTGAAACCTGTCCGGCTGGCTGGAACCTGGCAGGGACACTGATGACATGGTGCTGGATGCCACCGCAGGGCCTGCCCTCGCCCTCCTGGGCCTCAAGCCCCACCGCCTCTGGGCTCTCCAGGCCAGCCAGGACTGGTGGCTGCATGTCGTCCAGCAGACCTGGGACAACGAGCAGTGGCTGGAGGCGTTCTGGATGACCTGGGACAGCTTCCTGGACCTTCCGAAGCAGCTCTGGCCACACCTGGAGTGACAGGACACCACCACACGGCCGTCCCTCCCCACAGACACCTGGCTAGCCCTGGCCTTGCTCAAGCTGGCCACGCCAACCAGCCTCTGCTAAGTGGGCCATCTCTTTGGGATGGGCAAGACCATTGCCAGGGAGGCCATCCTGGAGGTGTGCAGCACCCTCCAGGACGTGCTGGGACACAGTGCTCTGTGTGTGTGACCCCCTGATGGTGGTGGCAGGGTTCCATGCCCTGGGGTTCCCTCAGCGCATTGGGGCCCTGAAGGGGACCCACATCCCCGTCACCTGTCCAACCCACAGCAACCGCCCCTACTACAGCCAGAGGGGCTTAACCTCTGTAATGCTCCAGGCTGTTGTGGACCACTGCAGGGCCTTCACACACATGAGTGTCAGCTGGGCAGGCAGTGCCCACAATGCCCATGTGTTCCATAATGCTGCCCTGCCAGGCCTGGTGCAGAGTGGCTGCTTCGTGCTAGGGGTCCCGGCCCTGCACCTGGGTGCCATGGTGGTCCCACCCCTGCTCATCAGGGACCCTGCCTACCCGCTCCTGCCCTGGCTCATGCAACCCTACATTGACTAACTGAACCCACACCAGAACTACTTCAGTTGGTGCCTGGGCTGGACCCGCATCCTGGTGGAGTGTGCCTTCGGCCACCTGAAAGGATGCAGGCACACCCTCATTGCCTGCCTTGAGTTCACTGAGGACAACCTACCCTGGGTTATCATCTCATCATTACTTATGGCAGTCAAACCTGGTTGCTCTCACAAGCAAATGCAACACTACTAGATCATTTTGCAAGAGAGACTTTACAGAACATTTCTGGTGCATAGTATGATCCCATAACAGAAGAATGGTGCATAAGAACCAATAATGAATTGTGTCAATTGTAGAGACCCAACTCTGACAGGAAATTAGAGCACAGTGACTACAACAGCTGGGCCACATGGAAAGAATGGAAGCAATCTGGACACTAAAGAAAGTGCTCCTCTGGGTGCTGAAAAGAAAAAGGCCACCTGGACGACCAAGATGAAGATGGCTAGATGATGTACTATCAGACCTAAGAACAAAATGTGGATGACTGGAGGACAAAGGCACACAACACGTGGGAATGGATGAAGATAATGGAGGTAGCCAAAGGCCTCTAGTGCTAAATTATTATTATTATCATTGTGGTGTTACCTTTAAGTCTTCATCAAAGAATTATTTATGCAACACATACTAATTTGGAGCTGAAAGCCAAGCAAATCTTAATGCAAAGGACAGGTAATAGTTTGATGAAACCCAGATCTCCCTGGGTTTCATGCAAATAAACTCCCTGGGTTTATGCAAATAAAAGTTAGATGGGGGCAATATGAACTTTGATTTA